TCTCTCTCTCTCTCTCTCTCTCTCTCTCGCTCTCTCGCTCTCTTTCTCTTTTTCTCGCTCGCTGGCTCGTTTTCCAACGACGTGATCCACCGAGCTTGTCGCCGGAACCGGTTCGACGGAATGCAGAAGACAAATTTTGAAAAAATTAGAAGAAATGTGGAAAAGAAGAAATTTGTTTGGTACGAGGATCTGATTTACCGACTGAGCAGAACTGTTTTACCGTAGCAACGGTTGCTAGGCTCACCGCGAGAGCCCGCCACTCGCAGTTTGTAACGGTCGGCGGTTTGAATATTTGGCGTTGGAAAGTTTGGTGAAATGTTTCGAACGGTGAGTACAGAATTGTTGAATATAATTTGTATTGGAAGGTTTATGGGGAATGGTTAATTAAATCTTTAACGTCACAGGTGTAGGGAAGGTTTATTTTTATGTAGATTATAGAATTTCTGGCTGTACAGTTGTATGGTATGATGTTATGATTAATATTGTTGCAGAGCTATCATAGTACAGTCAGACATGGGGGTTAAAGGTGTATGAACAGAAAAATTTGATCAAGGTGTTGAAGAGAGTTGGTTTTTGGTATTATTTAAGATTATTCAAGACAGATATAGTCTAATTGCTTTGCTTCGTGGTCGTTAGGGTTTCTTCGCACCGGAACAGCGAAGTCAACGTTCTTCCCCATTTTGCTTGCCAATAGGAAATGGTGTATGTACTCGGTGTCTTTGGTGTTACCAGTTACATCGAGGGCTCGTTTAATAAGGTCCTTATTAGACACCGGCAGGTAAACCGGAAATTCGATTTTGAACATTATGACAAGACTTCCTCTTTTGTTGGGGCTTTCTGGCAACGGAAGTCCTTCGCCGGCTATGGTCTTCCGGTACTCCGGCCTGTTGCACGCGATGATTTTTAACAACGTTTGTAGTAAGAGGTTATATTAGAAACTATAGATATTATGGAAATTAGAGAAATTAGAATATGTAGAAATATATTAGAAATTATAGAAGTTATAGATAAATATTAGAAATTATAGGAATTATAAACATTAGAATATATAGAAATATATTGGAAATTATAGAAGTTATAGATAAATATTAAAAATTATAGATATTATGGAAATTATAGAGATTAGAATATATAGAAATATATTAGAAATTATAGAAGTTGTATATAAGTATTAAAAATTATAGTAATTATAGAAATTATAAAAATTAGAATATATAGAAATATATTAGAAATTACAGAAGTTATAGATAAATATTAGAAATTATATAAATTATAAACATTAGAATATATAGAAATACATTCGAAATTATAGAAGTTATGGATAAATATTAGAAATTATAGAGATTACAATATATAGAGATACATTCGAAGTTATAGAAGTTATAGGTAAACATTAGAAACTATAGAAATTATAGATATTAGAAAGGTTCGCAATGAAATTTTGTTTGCTTTCCGCGGTACGTTCAGGTGAAAGGATTCCGCGATCTAGAAAGCGTAGTTCCACGGAAATAGCACGGATAAGAAAGTTGAGCCCCCGATTTTCCTCGAAACTGCTGCGTCCATTTACAGGGACCTTCTGTTTTCGCAATTTCCTTGGAAAATAGGGGGCTTGATAAGATCGTTCGACGCTAGAGACGTTCTAAACGAAATGCTCTTCAGGCTTCCTACCTGGACTCCTGATTATAGATCAAGCATCATTCAAATCCTCTAATACTAAACACACTTTACAATTTCTAATCAAATATCAATCATTCTGTCCTCTAACATTAGAGACTTTGAAATTTGTCTACATCAAAAAAAGTGACCTTTAAAACCAGAATACAACATACACTTCTTTCACAAAACATTCTAATCACTCTAATAACAATAACCATACCCTCTGTAACTATACCTACACTTTCACAATGAGATTTAGAAAAATTGTTTAACAAGTTAACTGCCACAGTTAAATAAAGATAATAATCTTATAAAATGCTTAATATACCATAAGAATTGCGATACCAAATAATTAACAATTCTTCTTAATCTTCTCTACAGAAGGAATAAACACCACAAAAATCTGTTTCTCATGGCGGTCAGCGTGTTAAACAGCGTTTCAACCTCAGTGAGAATGGAGTACTCTTTAGGCATCCAGGTTTCCAAGACTTTTCCAACGGATACTATTAGCAAAGAGGACAAAGATTTCTCCATCAGATTCTATCAGGTGTCCAAACACTGGACGATACTGTGCACATGCTTGCAACCGGCACGGAAGTTTTTAGGTTTGTCTAGCAGGCTGGCGAACACGGAGCGCAGAAGTATGGTCTACACGATAAGAAGACGTCGTACGTGATGACAGACGTTATTGGGATTCGGAAGGTTCTGTCGTCGAGGGTGTTGACGGTGACCACTGTTCCGGTCAGTGCCTCTCGCAGAAAGATATCGACCGTCATGTACAAGTCGGAGCCCTCTCTTCGGAAGGTCTCGTGGGGCCGGTCCTCCGTGATGAAGATTACATCCGCTACACTGACGTGCCTCAGACTGAGTAAAGACATTACGCGGACCGCCGCGATTAACCCATTTCTGTCCGGAACGGGATGCACGATGCATTTTAAACGTATCCTTCGTAATATTCAAATCGATACCGCGCCGGACATAGGCCACGGCTGCCGGCAATCTGATTTTATTCCTGGCTGCGTCGCGTCCTCTCGAAAACCGTCTCTGTTAACCAGACTAGCGCTGCGCCATTTGAATTGTTAAGTAATTTGAGCCTATGAATTAGCGAACTCGCTACACCGGACAGAAATGATTAGCCCGTTAACCGAGTCAATCTCGTATGTGCAATGGAAGATAATTGTCATTGATACTGTTGCGAGCATTATGATATAATTCGGGGGATAAGTAAATAAGAATGAATGAAATATAGTAAATGAGGGAATTTGATATGTAAGGAGGCTAATGAGACTCAATAATTTTTCAGATAATTTTTAATAGATAATCTTTCAACTAAAAAATATAATAAAGTTTCATTAGGTTATATCCTTACGTATCAAATTTTCTCATTTACCTAACTATATTTCATTAATTCTTCTTATTTACTTATTTCAATTATACTTAAATAATCATTTTTTAGATAATTTTTAATAGATAATCT